AGAGCAACGAATGAACAGTAACTTCAGGGCCCAGACTTTTCAATAATACAGAGGCCCGGTACTGGTCCCGGTACCAAGTTTATTTTTCCAACGGCCGGTGGCGGTCAATCTTAGGCTCAGGCTGCTCAGCAAAATTTGGTTCGTAAATTTAGCTGTGGATGAACTCCTTTCGCCAAATACAACGTACGGTCATTATAGCTCTATTTGGGGTACGTTTCAGTCTAAATACAGCTATAATGACCGTACGTTGCATTCGGGGGAAGAAGGTAGTGGTTCAAACCTTATTGCATCAAAACATGACTGAACTTTGGTAAGATGGAATTAAACCACGAGTACCTTTCCCATATGTCGGCCGCGGACGGTGTCGGAGGGCCGAGATGAAAAACGGACAGCCGATTCGATTTATCAATGGCGGGCCTCCCCGGCTTATCTACCGTGTTACCCCGCACGTCTTCGATTTCAAGCGGGGAAAGGTACTGGTGGTTTATGTGAACTCTGGGAATGGCAGGTGGCTGGGAAAAGTGAGATTCGGGCTTCAAGGGTGGGTGATAGCTGCTCGTTCACTGAATTTCGAACAATAAAAAATGACATCTCAATGAGCAATAGGCATGGAACTAAAGAGGTGTAGAGACAAAGTAGGGTTGATCCAGGGTGCATGAATTTTGCTTACACCAAGTGACATACAGGAGAGGAAGAGCTGCAGAAGGATAACTGCAAAGCCATTCTGCATACGCCCCGACAACTTCAGCTGCTGACTTATGTACCTGAGACACAAGCCCATTCCACTCAACCAGGTCAACAACAAAAACAAAAAGACCTGTTGTTATCCATAATAACCATGAAAATCGTTCAGAGGCTAGGGTACGAGAGTGGCCCGGGACCACTTGCCCGGCCGGGCCAGAAAAAAGAATTCATATATACTCTGCTTGACGATATATATGACGATATCTATAATTTTTTATTTTAATTTTATTTTTTACTTTACATTTGGTAAACAATTTCGATGTGACCCTGAGGCAAAAGTTGTTCAGTTTATTTTTCTGCATACCACAGTTTTTCTGCGGATTTTTTTGACTTTCTTTTTTTTTTTGCCTAGGACCTTCCATGTTCCTTGCACGGCCAGGCCGTCCGGGAAAATAGGGTGACCTGGGCGGCCCGACTGGTAGCCTAGTTTAGAGGTGAAAACGGAACATGGTACGCGATTTGCGTCTGCAGATATCCAGCAATTACGATCTCATGCCCACGGAACATTCCTGAACTCCAAAAGGAATCGCCGAACAACATTGAGCCGGAAGCTTCTGAAGAAGGGCCAATTTCCTGTTTTCAATTTCTCACTGAACTTTTCAGACTTCCTCAATTTTGCCATGGCGGCGGGCAGCAAAAATATACTTGAGCCATCAATAATACTTCCCCCTGGGAAGTTCGGCCATGCAGGTGCAGGACGCGCTGGGATGTATGGGCCTGCTACACAACGACAGATCCATTCATGATAAACCGTTGCAGCACTGTAGCAATGGCTGGCGCGGGCACGTGCACAGCCAGACTTTTGAGGAAAAAAAGTAGTAGAGCTGTGGGACAGTTCAGCATCACAGTCAAACATCATCGAACTCCTCAGGGTTCAGTCTAATCAGTGAAAAGAGAAAAAAGCAGCAGCCTTTGAAAAAGACAACGACGCCCATACAATTTGATTGGGACCGCAAAATGTGTCCGCGCCCTACAGCGCTGGGAGAGTGTCGCAACGAGGACCCTTCTCCTTATTCTCCCCTACCAGTGGAGATAACAGTGCCCAATGTCAACAAAGCTAAAAATAACCTGGATCAAGGTTTCGCTTACCTGGATTCGCATTTGTGGCCACTGATCCCTGGAACCTACGGCCCAGACCGAAGAATCCAGGCAAGTGGGACCTCGCCCCATGAACTAAGCATGACGAGCTGGGGTGCAAGCCATGGAATGAAACCGCGCTTCCTAACTTTGTTTGAGTCTCTGTGAGATTACCTCCTGAATGGACACTCCTTTCGTGACACAAGAATACCACCAATAACCATGCGACCATTCGATTCCACCCATGAGAGTGAACTTAGTGAAGACATCACCAGAGGCGACGGCAAAACCATGCGACTATTCCGTTCCACCCACTTTCTTTTTTTTGTCTTCTCCCACAGCCATACATTTCGTTTTCACACACTACAGGGACAAACCATCATGTCCCTGTTGGATGGCGGTCAAATGTTGTTCAAAAGCATCGTCTGTGGATTTCCATGGACAACCTTTTAAGGCCAAACAAAAGATTGGATCATGGCGAAAAGTTTTCGCTTCCAAACATCTCTCTCCCTCTCTCTCTCTCTCTCTCTCTTGGACATGTTTGCATTGATGTGGCCACACAAAAAGAGAAAGCATAGAGGGTAGGGAGGACTGGAGGTGATAGGAGCAGACTTATGCCCAATGAGACCGACCTCTTTCCATTCATGCAACAGATTGTGAGAGGTGGTAAGGGGAGGATGCAGCAGGTGGGCAGGGGCCCAATTTGAACAGAGGATTAAGCCATCAGTGGTTCCCAGCCTCTTTTTCTCAACGCGGATTTTTACCCAGCCCTACGAAATCCGTTGTGCCATTTGCCTGCACTGCTAGCCGTTTCACTACGACCAGTCCAAGCCTTTCCACGGGCCTCGTGTTCAATTGGTGGAAGTTTTTCCGAAGGCTGGGCTACCCACTGGCGGTTATGTCGTTACGCGGACTGCTACGGACTTGATTTGCCATGAATGGAATGCAAGTTAGGGTATTCTATATGTTCATGAGCTTAGGAATCTCCCCTCCATATGTTCTGTACACGACAGTGGGCCACATGAGGGAATGATTGAGATTAGGTCAACTGCAAAGATCTCCCCCGAAGTTCAGATTAGATTGCAGTCCCATACAACTCATCGGCCGTCACACGGAGCTCCAACAACACACAGGAACAACTCCGATTTATTATTAGAAACCAAAGAATGCACAAACGAGCAACAGGTCTCACGTTGTATCCCCTTGGCAGCTCTGGCTGCCGTCATCAACTGGTCTCTCTCTCTCTCTCTCTCTCTCTCTCTCTCTCTCTCTCTCTCTCTCTCTCTCTCTCTCTCTCTCTCTCTCTCTCTCTCTCTCTCTCTCTCT